GTACAATTGACAAATCAGCTTCCAGGGTCTGCTCATAGAAGAATTATTCCGCTGATCGACCAACCACAGACGTACAAGGTAATTTTCTCTTTTCAACCTTTAGAGCTAGTCCAGCTGACATATAGCTTCTAGGGCCTGGTCATAGAAGAATTATTCCGCCTATCAACCAACCATAGCCCTACAAACTAATTTTATCCTTTCTATCGTTTGGTCTCGTCCAGCTGAGAGTTTCTAGTTTCTAGTCTCTGGTCATAGAAGAATTATTCCTATAACCCATCAACCACAGACGTACAAGCTAAGTTTTGCCTTCCGACCCTTAGAGCTAGTCCAGCTGACATATCAGCTTCTATGCTCTGGTCATAGAAGAATTATTTCGACAGTCCGGCAACCATAGACCATAAAGATAATTTTGACCATTCGCCCTTCTGAGCTAGTTCAGCTGACATACAGTCTTCTAGACTCTTGTCATAGAAGAATTATTCCGACGTTCCAACAACTATATAGCTACAAGCTAATAGACCTTTAGATCTAGTACAATTGACAGATCATCTTGCAGGCTCTGGTCATAGAAGAATTATTCCGCTGATCGACCAACCACAGACGTACAAGGTAATTTTCCCCTTTCAACCTTTAGAGCTAGTCCAGCTGACATATAGCTTCTAGGCGCTGGTCATAGAAGAATTATTCCGCTGATCGACCAACCACAGACGTACAAGGTGATTTTACCCTTTCAACCTTTAGAGCTAGTCCAGCTGACATATAGCTTCTAGGGCCTGGTCATAGAAGAATTATTCCGCTGATCGACCAACCATAGCCCTACAAACTAATTTTATCCTTTCTATCGTTAGGTCTAGTCCAGCGGAGAGAATCTCTGGTCATAGAAGAATTATTCCTATAATCCATCAACCACAGAAGTACAAGCTAAGTTTTGCCTTCCGACCCTTAGAGCTAGTCCAGCTGACATATCAGCTTCTATGCTCTGGTCATAGAAGAATTATTTCGATAATCATGCAACCATAGACCAACAAAATCATTTTCCCCTTTCGATTTTCAGAGATAGTCCAGCTGAGAGATCTACTTCTAGGCTCCGGTTATAGAAGAATTATTCCTCCTATCAATTAACCGTAGACCTAAAGGCTAATTTTCTCCATTCTATCGTCACGTCTGATCCATCTGAGAGACCAGTTTCTAGCCTCTAGTCATAAAAGAATTATTCCTATAATCCACCAACCACAGATGTACAAGCTGTTTCTCCTCTCGACTCATAGAGCTAGTCCAGCTGACAGATCAGCTTCTATGCTCTGGTTATATTGAATAATTCCGGCATTCAAGGAACCATAGACCTACAAGATCATTTTCCTCTTTCGATCGTCAGGGCTAGGCCAGCTGAGAGGTCGGCTCTGATCATAGAAGAATTATTTCGATAATCAAGCTACCATAGACCTACAAGATAATATTTGCCTTTCGCTAGTCCACATGAGAGATTAGCTTCTAGATTCTGGTCATAGAAGAATTATTCTGATGTTACACCAAATTTAAACCTACAAGCTAATCTTCCCCTTTCAGCTGTTAGAACTAGTCCAGCTGACAGATCAGTTTCTATGCTCTGGTTATATTGAATAATTCCGGCATTCAAGGAACCATAGACCTACAAGATCATTTTCCTCTTTCGATCGTCAGGGCTAGTCCAGCTGAGAGGTCGGCTCTGATCATAGAAGAATTATTTCGATAATCAAGCCACCATAGACCTACAAGATAATATTTGCCTTTCGCTAGTCCACATGAGAGATTAGCTTCTAGCTTCTGGTCATAGAAGAATTATTCTGATGTTACACCAAATTTAAACCTACAAGCAAATCTTCCCCTTTCAGCTGTTAGAACTAGTCCAGCTGACAGATCAGTTTCTATGCTCTGGTTATATTGAATAATTCCGATATTCAAGCAACCATAGACCTACAAGATCATTTTCCTCTTTCGATCGTCCAGTTGAGAGGTCTGCTTCTAGGCTCTGGCCATTGAAGAATTATTTTGATAATCAAGCCACCATAGACCTACAAGATAATTTTTGCCTTTCGCTAGTCCACTTGAGAGATTAGCTTTTAGGCTCTGGTCCTAGAAACATTATTCCGATGTTCCACTAAATTTAGACCTACAAGCTAATTCCACTTGCGATCCAACCATGAATGTACAGTTAGACTTTTAGAACATTACAGCCATTTGATTCCACAAGTAATAACACTTAAATAGCTACTTTTAAAAGTCGCAAAATGTCCAATTTGTTTAATATGATACGAACGGTAATGGAAAAACTTTCTAGACCTCAAGTCCGTCGTTCTAAACATCGAACGAGTCTTGAATGTTAATGTATTTTCTTCCTAATCTCACCGTTTACAACTCTTAATTTTCTACATGAGTTGTTATTCAAGCCTACCCCAGTAGTTACCTCAGTTTTCCAGGCCTAGGGTAGATTATCACCGTTCAAAATTGACTCTTCCTCCCGATGTCTTCTCTCACCTCCCCTGTAGGTAACGGAAAGATATATGGTGAATGCGCGTGCAGAATCTTCGATCAATTCTCTCCGTCAAGCTTCTTGCCCGGTACACCAAAGTAAGACGTCTCGGCCGGATGATATATGAGTCCGCAAATGCGGCTCAGTTGTTTAAAGATCTAGCAATGTTCTCTGATCTTGTCGTTGAGTTCGATGCGATGGCGTGATAATTAATGGAGCTGATTAGCGTGACACCGGCAGGCGACATTCGAGAAACACTTGAAGAGCAGGTGCACTATCTCCGTGGTGGGACATTGCCGGTCATGGCTCTCCACAAGTTCCTGTCTTTCGTAGCGCTTAGTAAATTTGGTGACACTTTTAGCGTGTGTTGTAGCGATCAGTGTGTCCTAACAACATATTTGTGTGCTACATTATGTAACGTAAGGGGAAAAGCAAATAAGAAAAGAGGAATGATATTTATTGTTGTATTTTAAAATTTATAAAAAAAATAATAAAAAAATTATAAGAAATTTGACTAAGAAATCCTATATTTTAATCCTTTAAATAAAAACATTCTGAATGTCTTTTAACATACCGATAAAAAAAAAGTCTGGATAATGCCTTAATAATTTCGGATACAAACATGGTGGTAGGACACACACTAAAGCAGAAACTGATCAGTAAGACACACGCGAAAACAGTACCGTAAATTATGTATTTATGCTATCTCTCCTAATACTTCTTTTAACCATATACACAAGCCATTCTTTTTTATGTGACCTGTTTTTTCAGAACATTAGCGATTGATGTAATGAATATGCATACACCTGAGTTCCCCGTCAGAGTAATATGATTGGCTGGTGTCAGCCATAAATACAGACTGATGTAGAGGACGCCTATTGACGATGCCTATTTCCTACGCCTATTGTCTACCACTATGACGGCACCATTAGGTTTACTTGCTAGATTGTCATCTCCGGTTACAGTAGTCCAAAACCACTTTGCTACTTCGAACAAATATATCCCTTTCCGGGATATATCAGCGATCATGTCTCCTAATCTCTGTTCTACTAATAATTTAGATAAATTCCTTAAGCTTTGCGTTATTTTCCTCTGTTCCACTTGACTTTAATATACAAAAAGAATAAATTTATTGTTACGAAATGTCTAGCTGAACAGGGATTATCAAAAAGAGATAGCCAAAAGACAAAACATACAAAGAGTAGAAAGGATAGGAAATTAGGGAGAGCCATGATCGATAATCCCCTGATGGGATACGGCACATAGAAGACGAATTGAATTGTGTATATGTTCAGCAGGACAGAGATTAAGAGAGATAGCAAAAAGACAAAACATACTAAGAGTAGAAAGGATAGGAAATTAGGGAGAGCCATGATCGATAATCGCCTGATGGGATATGACACATAGAAGACGAATTGAATTGTATATATGTTTAGTAGGACATGGATTAAGAGAGATAGCAAAAAAAAAAACTAAATATACTGGGAGCACCAAAGCACAGGAAATTGTGGAGAGCCATGATCGCCAACGTTCTGAAGGAACTCGTCACATATAATAATAATAATAATAATAATAATAATATAAATAATAAGCCATCGTCAAAAAGAAATGTAAGCCTATTTCTGATTTGATAAAAATCTAATAACCGGTTAATAAAAGTTTCAAACCACGCCCCTTTGCAAGAGGACCTTGCTACCCCCTATTACAGACGTTTGGTCTGTTTTTATACTGTAGCTATAATATTTAGCTGTCCCCCTACGTGGGGTCGCATGTAGCACAAGGCCGAGTTTTACGTGGTCACCCGAGCCCGTAGGCCCGGCCAAAAATATAGCCTTCGACTCGCCTAGGCGAGTTCGAGAGCTGTCATAACCTCCCCGGACGAAACCTTGCCCTTCGGCAAAGCTTCGTCCGGGTTCCTCTCTACCAAAGCAGAGAGTTCGGCAGACGCCACGAGGATTGAATATGGCACACGGCCGGTTTAATGTGGGTATCTCCGAGCCCGTAGGCTCGGCTAAAAATATAGCCTTTTTAAACCCGCCTTGACGGGTTCAGGCCCTGTCTACCTCCCCGAACGAAACCTTGCCCTTCGGCAAAGCTTCGTCCGGGTTCCTCTCTGCTAATGCAGAGAGTTTGACAGACGGCGGTTGCTGTAACTTAATACCTTAGTTACAGTTTCTGGGAGACCAATATTTTTATCGAGGTTTGTATACACGAAGTTTCGATCACGATGAATTTTGATTTAACGTGCAATCGCGACTATTGATGGCTTCTGAACAGGTCTACCAATTTTCGCTTACAAGGCTGGGATAAACTCGTGTGACTTTCAAAAAATGCGGCGCTTTGTGTTCGCCCCCCCCCCCCGGTCTGTTACACCAGTACGTCACTAATCCACTATGTCCAGATTCGAAATTGGGCCTCATGGTCAGAAAGTGAACGGTCCAAACACAGAGCAAAACTGCTGGCAGTAAATTCGACCTTGCTAACAGAACGCGCCTCTGTTTCCAAATCGGTAAAGGCACGTCAAGCTAAATGACTGTTCCGTATAGGATACAGGTTCGAATCCTGTCGAAGGACGAATATTGTCTGTGAAAATTTCTTGGACATTCAGACCGGTAAATGTTGTTTAATACTGTTTATTATAAATAAAGCATTTACTTAAATATTTATAAAAAGAAGCTACAAACATAAAATGTCTTAATATATATATATATATATATATATATATATATATGAAGAAGGAACAGTAAGATATATAATCCGGTGTTCTTATAGATATTTTTTTACAAAATAGTGGTCAATGTAAATTTACAGAGCATTAATATTATAAATTAATTGATTTAAAATACAGTTTTTATCGCTACACAGTTCTAACCATGTTTCAAAAATGGAAGCTAAATGCCCCGAATTTAATTTTGTAATTAAATTAAAGACATTAGTTCCATTTCATCCTCAAGCGAATTTTGGAGTAACTTTTAAAATTACTGGGTTTTAAAGACACAGCTAATATATATATATATATATATATATATATATATATATATATATATATATATATAATTTTAAAGAAAAAAAAACAGACCACTTTAAAAGCTCCATTAGTTATAATTTATTTCATCAGAGAATTTTATTTTTCTCTGGATCTTCAGACTTCACTTTCAAAGCTGAACGAAAAATGAATTCATTAACATTGAGCTCTCAGGATTTCATGCTCCTTGGGATTATCCATACGGATTACCAAGATTTTCGTTACTTCACAATATATATATATATATATATATATATATACATACATATATATATATATATATATATATATATATATATATATATATATATATATATATATTAAAATTCAGAGTTACTTTATTCAGAAATACCTATTTTAACCCACAAGATTTTTACTTGTAGGTCGTGTCGTCGAGATATGAAGAATTAAAACAAAATATTAAAATATTTAAAGAATAAAAGAACAAGTAGAAGGAAAGATAGAAAGATAGGAAAAAGGGAAAGAAGAAAAAAGAAAGGGGGAAGAATAAAAAAGCAGTTAAATGAACTCCGGAAAACAGTGTAACGCCTGGGATTTGTATTATTTCAATATAAACAAATTTTGTTTAGAAAAATCCAAATATATTAAGTACCTGACTCATTTAAGTAGCGGAAAGATACATTATTCGGACTATTGTCCTCATCTTTGTCGCCATATATATTACAATGTTTCGGCTATTGTACGCTGGTGGTTGGAATGTCGAGCTGAACACTTTATATCGCTCACGCGGGTAGACTGTTCTAGTTCCACGTTGAATCGATGTCAGTTATCAGTCATCTTAACCGGGTATTGAACTCATACTCTTTGAGTCCTGTCACTGGATCTAACTAACGCCTTAATCCACTGTGCCATGTGTCCTTGAGGACATCTGTGTATGAATATTTGGGTATTATAAACCCAATGTCTTCAGCAACCATTTTTATCAGTGCTCATATTGCGTATTTTTTTTGCTGTTATCATTACGTTTATACCAGAGCTCATATTAAAACGTTGTAATAAATATGGCGAAAAAGATGAGGACAAGAGTCCGAATAGTGTACATAATACCTCATGTCAGAAATATAGACAGAATTGAAGGGCCGAAACGGTGTAATAAATATGGCAACAAAGATAAGGACAATAGTCCAAATAATGTAAATAGTGTAAATAATACCTCATCTCACAAATATAGACAGATACTGAAAGGCCGAAACGTTGTAATAAATATGGTGACAAAGATGAGGACAATAGTCTGAATAATGTAAATAATGTACATAATCCTTCATCTCAGAAATATAGACAGATACTGAAAGGCCGAAACATTGTAATAAATATGGCGACAAAGATGAGGACAATAATCCGAATAATGTAAATAATGTACATACCTCATCTCTCAGATACTCGAAAAGTGGTAAGAAATACGTCGACAAAGATACTAATCCGAATAATGTAAAGGGTACATAATACCTCATTTCTGAAATATAACAGATACTGGTATTGTAATAAATATGATGACAAAGATGAGGACATTAATCTGAATAATGTAAATAATGTACATAATAACTCATCACTGAAATATAGACAGATAGCGGAAAGATAAAAACAAAATTTTATGGAGCAACACTAATATTTAGTCTTCAAAGTAAGGTCCAACATTCTAGACGATCTTCTGCCAGCCATCAGTCAGCATCTGAATCTGTCTCAGATGCCAGTCCGCTGGCTTTGAATAATAATGAAAAAACTAAACAAGCTTACTTCACTTCATCAAAAGTGTTAAATCGCTGGTCGTGGGGGAAGACCGAGATAAATGATAGATAGATAGATATATAAACAGTCGTTACATAGAAGGGTTGCGCAGTCTCTCAGATATCGCAGACTGAATGTAAGGTCCACGTGTCGAACAATCGGCCCCGTGAGGTTGCTTCACAGACTGTCCAGTAGAAAGAATTGCAGTGAAATAAAATAATGTCAAATAGGAAAGATTCACGTCTCGTGTTAAAATGACCAGTTGCTTTTACCGCGCCAGAAAATACCTTATTCCACCTACCAGACTCTATGTTTATAAGATTTAGA